CGGCGGCGGCGGCGGCAGCACGGGCGGCGGCGGCGGAGGCAGCGGGCACGGCAGCAGCAGCGGCACCAAGTCCAGCAAAAAGAAGAACCAGAACATCGGCTACAAGCTGGGCCACCGGCGCGCCCTGTTTGAGAAGCGCAAGCGGCTCAGCGACTACGCGCTCATCTTCGGCATGTTCGGCATCGTGGTCATGGTCATCGAAACCGAGCTGTCGTGGGGCGCCTACGACAAGGTACGGCCTCGGGCCTCTGCCCACGGGGTCGGGTGGGCGCTGGCGGGAACGCGGCGCGAGCCGGGCCAGACCGGACCCTGCCGCGGGCCATCAGAGGTGCCCGCCTCGAGCGGGCGCTGGCACCGGCGCGCACCGTTAGCCTGCAGGGAAACTCCTCAGAGGAAGCCTTGACGCGCGCAGCCAAAGTTCTGCAGCGGTGAGAGTGCCCCGCGCGTGAAGCACGTAGAAGCGGTGGTTCAGGGAGTGGGGGCGAGCGTGCCCGCTGTCCAGGTGCGCGGGCTTAGGAGCCGCTCTCAGCCCCAGCCCCTTAACTCAGCAGCAACTTAGCAGGTCTCCAGCCAGGTGCCGCGCATGTAGGCGAAGGCGCTGCCTGGGCTGCCCGGCCGGCCGTGCATCCCGGTCTCCTGCTTGCTGCCTCTGAGGCAAGGGATTTGACCCAGCACCTAGCTAAGAGAACATTCGCGGCCCCCCCCCAAGTTTGGGTCCACGCGAACTGACTGACCACCAGGGCCAGAAAGGTGGTTAAAAGTGCTTCAGTCCTAAAAGTGCTTCCGTCTGACTGTGTTGCAGGCATCGCTGTACTCCTTAGCTCTGAAATGCCTGATCAGTCTCTCCACTATCATCCTGCTCGGTCTGATCATCGTGTACCACGCCAGGGAAATACAGGTAACTTCGATCCTGCTGTTTATGAATGAGTCAAAGCCTCACCGGCAGCCTGGAGACCGGCAAGGCAGCCTATGCTTCATGCTTTTCTCCAAGTGCTCGCGTCCTTGCTTGAGGTTACAGAACACATGCTGTGTTCTGTTGCAGCTCCTGACCTGTTCTTGCAAGAAGTTGAAACAAAAACAGGGCAGCATGTGGAGGCGCTTATCATCACCGCTGCATTTCTTGGCCCCTCCTGCTTCCTCCAGCTGCTTTAGGTAGCCCCAGTTCTCCCCACTAGTCGTTTCCTTTACTCCCTGCCTTAGGGGAGACACTCGTCTTCATCTCTGGAGTAAAGTGTGCTTCTGTTTGATACCCCTCTTCCCAGCGGGTCATGATGGAAGAGAATGCCCATCTGTAACATCTCCAACAGTGTAGTAAGTGGGCTTACACTGTTCCAAGCTAATGTTTCTAAGACAAGAAACAAGCTTGAAAGCTCTAACCCATCCCTGTTTTCCCAACATTATGGGGGGGGGGAGTATGTAAGTTTAGAGTTAGGCAATATAAATGTGGTGTAGTTGGGTTTGTAGTTGGGTTTGTAAATGTCATTTTAAGAGTAGAGGCATTGCCCTGGTGAGCCATCTTGTCAGAAAAATCCTTGGTTAAATGCAGCTAGGAGGGCTGTTGATACATCGGGCTGTTCCAGGCAGTTACAGAGTTGTCTCTATAAAATTCATGGGTCACCATTTGAGTTGTTCACTTTGCTAGAGCCTACAGTCATAAGAATGTTAAGGTCATGGGTTCAAATAACTGTTTTCATAATTGAGAAAGATTGGGACTTAACCAGTTTCGAACTTACGTTGATCTACATTTTCTGATTTGTTGGGAGTCGACGTTAGACATTTAGTGGATCCAGGAAACCCTCAAATTCAGGTTGCTTTTTTTAAGGTGTTAGTTTCCATGGAATTAAAAACATTCTAAATAACGTGCTATTTAAACATTTTAGTACTGTGCATTAGTTAACTTGAGTTTAAGTTAGTAATTCGCAAACACATGCAAAGTGTGGAAGAAATGGACCCTAACTATTGCCCAAACATAGTAAAAATACAGCTTTCAAATTTGCAAAACAAGGCCTGGTTTGGAAGGAATGACGTTAGAGAGTGAGAGTTAGAGTGAGCATATATGTACAGGTAAGTAGTCTGGCCGTGCTGGCAGAACAAAGCATGCACACATTTCAACCCTGAAGTGTGAATAATGTACACAGGTCCATCCTGACAGTGCTGGTAATGGTGGGCTGTGGAGATTCTTTCAGACATTTTAAAGTGATACTAAATGAAACGGGCATTATAGCAGGGCCTTCTCATTTGGGCTTGAAGAGTAAAGTAGGTCTCACGGTCCTTTGGAGTACACAGAATCTTTAGTCAGGAGTCTTGTCTCAGACCCCAGAGCTAGGCCCTCGGTACCTCCAGCTCTGTGCACTCGCTGCAGTCTGTCTACTCTGGTTCCCACAGCACTCACAGTCAGCGCAAGGATCACTTTAAAGTTAGCTTAAATTTGTCTACTTTTTGCCTTACTGATCAGAGTGACTTCACCTGGTCTACCTTGGAAAGGGAGGCTGCTGCTTTTGTTTTAATTAAATACTAGCTTTCATATTATTGTTTGTTCCCTCTGAAAAAGCACTCCACACAGTTAACCAGTGTTCCTGGAGGACCCTTGATGAAATTAACACCAAGAACAAAGTGTTTCTGAAAACTCTGACTTTTTCAAGCTTATTGGGAGATTTAAAAAAAAAAAAACCTTATAGAGGTCTGTTAATTCCATATTGTAAAAAAAAAAAAAAAAAACATACCACATTAGAACCCCTGAAATGCATATAAAGTATAGAAATTGAGGTTAATAGAGAAGAATCCCATCACACGCACATTGTGAGAACTGTCTTGTTATAGGCATGGACACACTGATGAGAGTGTGGCAGCTTCGCTGAGGAGAAATAAGACTCTAGATCACCCCTCTCAGGCAAGTAAGCACAGAGAGCTTCTTCCCAGCAGGGGCAATATAAAAACCACAATGGTGGCACAGTGGGTTAAAGCATAGCACTGTGAAGCTAGCCGCAGCTGATTCACCTACCATGCAAGTTTGAACCCCGCCCCAGAGGTGATCCACATGACACGGCAGGCCTTAGCTGACCCACAGGCTGCTCCCCTCAGCAGTTTACTTCATCGATCTGCCTGTTCTGCTCCCCACTCTGTCTCTGGTGAATCCTTTCACCACCCCCTGCACCTCTGGCCTGTATTCCTGTTCTGTATGCATAAATACATATTTTTTTAAAAAAAATCACAGGGTGGTAACTGTAAATTGGGTTGATTTGCCACATGGTTTCTGTTAATTCAGCCACACTTACAAAATTTTGAAATTTTGTAATTTCAAAATAGAAACTTAGATAATATTTAGTTGTTTGGATGTTGTTTTTACACTCAGTGCTTAATCTGGAGGGATTTCTTCCTCAAACGGAAGTTGCATGTTCTGCTGGAGTTGCTGTTTGAAAAAATAAAATGGAAAAGGATCAAATCATTTTGGAGACGCTGAGCTAGAAGTCAGGAACCAGAGAAAGCGCAGGCCTGCTCTCATTCACCCAGCTGGCAGTCAGTGCTGCTGGAAGGACACCTCACTGTGATGCTCAGGGAAATCAGGCGGCTGGCCTGTGTAACTGTGGGTGGAGGCTATGATGTGGGTCTTTTCTAAAGTACTGTTGTCACGCCTCTAGGTGTATTTCTTTTCACAAATCTTAGGCACATGACACTTTTCATTATACTATTAAGGGCCTCCATGGCTAAGTCTCAGCTTATGAAGCTATGGGCAGTCACTGCAGCACAAGCTCAGTCCCCAGCCCTGGAGCTGACCTACAGGGCGCGGTCGATCTCTCCTGACCTGCCCACTGCTCCATGTCCTTCAGTGCATCTGCCTGTTCTGCTCCCCACTCTGTCCCTGGTGAATCCTCTCACCCTCCCCACCCCACACCTCTGCCCTACATTCCAGCTCTTATATGCAAAACAAAATAGAAATAATTTTTAGACAAAAGAATTCGAGGTGCAGTGATGAGCTTCAAGTTAAGGAACTATGTGTAGGGTCACGCTGCTGTTCCGAGCACGGTCTTGGCTGTGGATGCCAGCCCACACTGGCAGGTTCCTTTTTCCAGCATGTCAGTGTGATGATTGCACAGTGAGAACTTGAAAGTGGGGTACAGGAAAACTAAGTGCAGTACCTACCCCACATCCTGGCTCTCCGTCTACCAGATGGCTTCACCAAGTTTGGGGAGGCCCTGACATTTTCGCGGAGGACCTTGGAAAGCAAGTCAGCTGACCTTTCCTAAGGTGTTGAGACACACCCTGGCAAGATAAGCTGGCTCAGGTGAGTGCTCCAGTGAAAATAGTGTGCTAGGGAGCAGAAGGTGTACCTTGTAGCCTTGGTCACATTTTTCAGGACCACAGACAGCTCAAAGCACTGAGCTAGGCTGTGATGACTACCCTAACCAGACATCACTTCTTGAGGGTCAACATGCCTGTGTGAAAATCAGATGTCCTCAGAGCAGCTTCTCAGCTGAGGAAATAATAGATTTTGTTGAGTAGATTCTGTTAGTTTACCCCCTCCTCTGGGGCACAGGAGGTAACTCTTCCATGGGCTAAGGACAGAAACAAAGTTCAAGCTCTTTTGTTCTTCATTCTCTCCAGTAGCAAAAGCAGTTGAGTATAGATTTCAGTGCATCTTTTCACTCCAGTGTACTGTGCTTTCTCTTGAGGAAGTCATTTTAGTTGAAAGACTTGTTTAGGATTTTGAGATTCTAAATTGGGAAATAAAGTCCTTTGGGCTGTTTGCTGATCTTTCCAATTCTCATGAGATTCGTGAGCCCCGCAGATATATTTTGAGTTTGGAAACATCTTTGTTTAACTTTGTCTCGATAATATTATCAGAAAGAGCACGAGAGGAAACAGTGTTTTCTTTGGTATCTTTTCAATGGGATCTCTTTCAAGTCAGCATGTTAAAGAGGGATGATGTAAATCTAAAATTAGCAGAACAAAAAGGACAGTTTCTATTACATGCCAGAGTCAAAGGAGGAGAGAATGAAAGGGAACAGGGACCTTACCAAGCTGGGCAAGGTCCTGGACAGGTCAGGGAGTGGGGTTTAGGACCCCCTTCTCTGGGCTCTGGGTCTCATTTTGCGGAGACTGGGAAGGCGTGCTCACTCACCCACCTCTGCAGAGAGCAAGAGGATGCATCCAGAATGTGCAGAAAATATTGTGTATAGTTAATGTCTCATTAATTAAATTATAGCTACATGTAGGAAAGCTAGTTCAAACAGCACAGAAGTTAAAATAATAGAATAGTCACTTTCTGTATACTGCGATTCTTATTTAGAGAAACCACTGCTAAGTTTCTTAATTATTCTTTGAGAATTTCCAGAAGCAAGTATGTTTTGACGTATTTAGGAATATATTTATTCTTTGATATCTCTTGCTTTATTCTTTGATATCTCTTGGAGTTTTCTCTTCATTGGCACAAGGAGACCTACTTCATTATTTTTATCATCTTATCCCACTTTATGATTGTTTTATGATGTGCTGGATAGGCGATTTAAGTTTTGTAGCCTTTTTTCTATTTTAAGTTATGGTAAAGTGAGTATTTTTTGAAGCTTAATTTAATTGGGATACAGACAAATGGTGAATATTCAGCACCCTGCTTGCTGAATCGAAGGCAATGTGCATTTTGAATGGGAAATTATTACCTCTGACCACACAGTCTTCAGAGTTCACATTCCCAGCTCCCCTTGTATTTTTTGTACACAGCCTTGTCAGCTCTGGATACTGTAAAAAGAAGTTTAAAATGTCTTTGACTTTTTGTAGCCTAAAATGTTTATTATATTTGTGGAGAAAAAGTATTTAAGGGCAAAATCCATGACCTCATACCCTACTTTGCAATGTAGTGTACTATCTAGGGTGGCATTAGCTAATCTGCTGACAAATTCAGTA